GATAGGCAACGCAACGCGTAAAAAGACAGTATAAGTCATTATAATCAGTAATTATGTCCCCACTGGATGCAACAAATGCCTCCTTTGTAATGGGTTTTATTGGTTTTGTCTCGTCCTGCTGGAGACGTCATCACAGTATGTTAAGGGGCGTAACATTTCCGTCACACGCTTGAGGCATTCGGCCAATCACAACGCACTGGATAGCTGGCCAATCAGAGCATACCTCGCTTTTCAGACCGATGAGCGCGTTTCAGAAAGGCGGGGCATAGAGGAGCAACAATAATGTACAGTATGTGGAAAATAATGTATTTTGAACCTTAAACCACATAAACACATTTCATTACACCAAATACACAACATAATGTTCTTTTTAGCAACATCATATGACCCCTTTAAAAAGTAAAATCATGAACTGTATTGAGAAGCAGGGCGTTTCAAAGTCGTTTTCTAAAGAAATGTATAGCAATCGCTCCACTTGTTTAATTCAGTCACAATTATCAGGAATGGGTGTTTATTAAAGTAAACTTAAATAAATATAACGAGAGGCCCTAAACAAAGTATAGGCTACAACTTTTCTGTTGTTTACTTAAAGAAAAATGACAAAAAACAAACAAAACAAAACGTCCTATAACATTTTCAAAAACAACTTATATCATGGTATGTCTACAGATAAATATTTAGTACAGCTAGGGGCTCGGCATTTTATTTCAAATACCCAACGCTTTTCCTGGCTACAGTCTCTATTTAAAAAAAAAAAAAAAAAAAAAACCCCTTTAAAAAGTAAAATCATGAACTGTATTGAGAAGCAGGGCGTTTCAAAGTCGTTTTCTAAAGCAATGTATAGCAATCGCTCCACTTGTTTAATTCAGTCACTCACGAATTATCAGGAATGGGTGTTTATTAAAGTAAACTTAAATAAATATAACGAGAGGCCCTAAACAAAGTATAGGCTACAACTTTTCTGTTGTTTACTTAAAGAAAAATGACAACAACAAAAAAACGTCCTATAACATTTTCAAAAACAACTTATATCATGGTATGTCTACAGATAAATATTTAGTACAGCTAGGGGCTCGGCATTTTATTTCAAATACCCAACGCTTTTCCTGGCTACAGTCTCTATTTAAAAAAAAAAAAAAAAAAAAACGAATTTCCCGCGAAAAAAATAATAAGCGAAACGGAAGGCTGCGCGAGCAGTCAGCACACTCTACCAAACTTGACTGCAATGTCCAAACTCGAGGTTTTATCAGCTGTGTGGAATACATTCAAGACGGAGGGCGGGTAATATTCACAGCGCTTTCGACTTCAGGCTGTCTTATAGGACGAAAATCTTCTGGGCTTACTTGTATACGGTAGTCTTAATTAGTAAACAGCGGCGGTATTCTCGTAACGACACAATAGCGGACCGCTCATCAGTAAACATACTTTCTGCCGCGGTGGGTTTTTGTGTTGTAGTCAGCGCTCAGTATCGCGTGGAATCCAAATTACTCATGATCCGATAAGAGTTCGCGACGCGCTCGATTCTACACGCGGATGAGACGTTGTTGCGAAAAAAACGAATTTCCCGCGAAAAAAATAATAAGCGAAACGGAAGGCTGCGCGAGCAGTCAGCACACTCTCTACCAAACTTGACTGCAATGTCCAAACTCGAGGTTTTATCAGCTGTGTGGAATACATTCAAGACGGAGGGCGGGTAATATTCACAGCGCTTTCGACTTCAGGCTGTTTCTTATAGGACGAAAATCTTCTGGGCTTACTTGTATACGGTAGTCTTAATTAGTAAACAGCGACGGTATTCTCGTAACGACACAATAGCGGACCGCTCATCAGTAAACATACTTTCTGCCGCGGTGGGTTTTTGTGTTGTAGTCAGCGCTCAGTATCGCGTGGAATCCAAATTACTCATGATCCGATAAGAGTTCGCGACGCGCTCGATTCTACACGCGGATGAGACGTTGTTGCGAATTCCATCCGGTCTGTAAAACAAACTGAACTGCCGGCTCGTTTATGTTAACTGTTACTTTGTTGAGGGGGCGAACCGGTCTCGGCTGCTCTCCCTTTGTTTGGGCCCAGGACTCGGCTGAATCCACTGGATCTCCGTCTCAAACGTCTCATTCGACCGCGAACGCTATATTAGGATGGCTCCACAAAAGCACGGATCTGGTGGAAATGGTTTTTACGCCAACAGCACGAGTAAAGCGGCTAATGGAGGAGCTCACGTATCGTCCGGTGTTGTGATGACTTCAGTCAAGCGACCCAAGATGGAGCAGGTCCAAGCCGACCACGAACTCTTCCTGCAAGCCTTCGAGAGTAAGTTGCTCGCGAATCCAACTTTCCCCCATAGTCTCTTTGTATGTACAACAGATAGCTGCTTTTCGAGCACACTTACCAGTATCCGATTGCTTTACGACCCATACTCTTAGCTTGAGGGCTAAACAACAATACTACCTGGGAAACTGTGTGCAGTAATACACCGAATGCTTAAATAATCCGGATAATTCACGTTAAAAGTCGCATGTCGTGTTTTTTACAATAGAGGGATTTAGACACGTATTAATTGTTTAGGCCACATCCTATATGAAAATTAGACACGTGCATCAAGAGGTGACACGTGCTTTGTGGTGCTTTTATGTATTTTATTATTTTAATACGACATTGGGGACTTCATAGAAGAGCAATGGACAACAGTCGTGAACAGCACAAACCCCTTGAAAACCTCTCTGCAGTTTCTCTACACTAGCTAAGACAAGTAGTGTACATGCCAAACTGCCACCTTGATTCACGTGTAAGAGTGTCATTGTACCAAAAATAGGGTTAATTTTATAGATACTGGTTCGACATGTATCTAAAATGGTAGTTTCTTTGGTTATTTACATGGTGAGTCGCATTCTGGCAACATCGGTGTGCATGATTCTACTGCATTTCTGTTCACAGAACCAACTCAAATATATCGATTTCTTCGCACAAGGAATCTCATAGCAGTAAGTAGACCATGATCATGATGAAATGACATGCCGTTCTCATTTAGACGTGAACTAACCCTGTACATGGCTGCCATAACAATAGACTTGACTGGTTGTGTCTTTAATTTCTTTCTGTTCTTTCAGCCAATCTTCCTGCACAGATCTCTTACCTATATGTCACACAGAAATTCAAGAACAAATTCAAAAAGGTAAAACCATTACATGCACCTAATGTCTTAATCTTTTTGTTTGTCTAAAAGCCACATCTTCATTTCCTTGTGCAGGCCTCATAGTGAGTAAATTTGCATGCTGACAAATGCACTGCAACTGACTGATGTACTGCACTTCAGTTGTAGTTAGATAAGTTGAATGAGGGTTTCACATCTCAACTATTTACAGAACATTTGTTGGCATCTGTTCTTTCAGAAAATACTTTGGTGTGAATGACCTGCTTTTCAAAGTAGAGAAGTCGAAAGTGGATCAGGAATCTCACAAGTAAGATGTTCTTGATCCAGATTTATTTTGCTCACTGTTTTTCCGAACATGAAATTGATTGACTTGACTGAATGGATCAAATGCATGCAGAAGTTTTATCTCCGGGTTTGTCTTGCAGCATGGCGTCAAACCTGCAGCTCACTTTTACTGGATTCTTTCATAAAACTGGTAAATTAACATTAGGTTTATGTACACTTTTATCAGCGTGTGCAAATAATATCATCTGATCTCTTTGTGATTCTGATTTGTTGTCCAATGTATCAGAGAAGCCATTGCAGAACTCAGAGAATGAAGAAAACTCAGTGTCTGTGGAAATGCTGCTTGTCAAGGTCTGCCACAAGAAGAGAAAGGTACAACTTTGTCCTTGTCATAAAAAGTCAGAAAATATCTTGCGTTGACTTTCACCCCACAAAAGTTTTCTCGATCAAAAAAACCTTGTCCTTGTCTTGATACAGTATATGTGGCCATATCTGTCCGTACTGTAGGTTAATTTTTAATTGGTAATTATGCTTGCTATCTATCACAACTAAAAACTCAATGAAATCGCTTGACAAGCACAGTTTTGTGTCTTGTGTTGACATGTCTGTGTTACGAGCGTTTTAGTTAACGAGGGATAGTTCACCCAAAAATGAAAATTTTGATGTTTATCTGCTTACCCCCAGGGCATCCAAGATGTAGGTGACTTTCTTCAGTAGAACACAAACAAATATTTTTAAAGGGGTCATATGACGTTGCTAAAAAGAACATTATTTTGTGTAATGCAATGTGTTTATGCGGTTGAAGGTTCAAAAAACAAATTTTTTCCATATAATGTACATTATTGTTTCTCCTCTATGCCCCGCCTTTCTGAAACACGTTGATTTTTACAAAGCTCATCATTCTAAAAAAGCGAGGTATGCTCTGATTGGCCAGCTATCCAGTGCGTTGTGATTGGCCGAATGCCTCAAGCGTGTGACGGAAATGTTACGCCCCTTAACATACTGTGATGCCGTCTCCAGCAGGACGAGACAAAACCAATAAAACCCATTACAAATGAGGCATTTGTTGCATCCAGTGGGGACATAATTACTGATTATAATGATTTATACTGTCTTTTTACGCGTTGCATTGCCTATCGCGCTGCGTAAACATAAAACCATGTCTGCATTTGTGATCGGAGAAACAACAAGCCTGCTCTACACCGCTCAAAACTTGCGTTTGAATCATCAGTGGCAAATTATTTATATATAAAAAAACATACTTAGTCTGTGAGTCAGAAGCGCCAGACTGTCCTTAAAAAGTTGGTACTGGCCAACTTTATAGAAACAGCCTTTGTGCCACAGACGCATTGTGCCACAGACTCATCCTCCATAAAATCGCAGCACACATCTGAATATTTGGGTTGAACTGTTCTGGAACAGTGTTGTAAATACAACTTCACCACTGATTTCTAGTTGTGTCCTCTTTTGGAAGGCCAAACAAAGTAGTTTCGCTTTCACAAACTGCGACTTCACAAAATGGCAGTGGCGGCAACAGCAAGAATTAAAGTTACGCCTTCTTTTTTTGCGTGAACATTTGGGCAGTGTTATGCAAATCTTCCCACATCGTGACATAGACATGTGGGGGCGTGTTAGAACGATCCGTTTTAGGTAGGCGTGGTTGACTCTTAACTTTTATAAAGAATATCTCTTTGGATTTGAGACTTTAGTCTTTGCAACTTTACAGATCTTCTTTATGCACCAAGAGTGTGTAACACTCCAAAGAGAAAGGAAAAATTGAAATCGCATCATATGACCCCTTTAACGCAAACCGTTGTAGTCTGTCAGTCTTATAATGGAGGTGAATGGGAATCACGGCTTTGAGAGAGAAAAAAACATACACAAACAAAACCTAATTAAACCCTGTAAAGACACAAAACGATCGGTCTGTGCAAGAAACTGAACAGTATTTATATAATTTTTTTATCTCTGATTCACGCAATGTTTGAACTGAGCACATCTTCCTGAGCGCGTTCTCAACGTGAGGTGTCGTCGTCTTGCTTTATGGTGGATCGCAGCATTATAAGTGCATTACCGCCTCCTATCTCTCAAATGGACCATTGACACTCTATCTACAATCTCAATTAGGAGTGTCAATGGTCCATTTGAGAGAGAGGTGGCGGTAATGCACTTATAAGTCTGAGCCGCAGGGTATAATTTGGTTTTGTTTGTGTGGTTTTTTTTTTTTTTACACTCAAAGCCGTGATTCCCATTCACTCCATTATAAGACTGACAGACTGCAACGGTTTGTGTTAAAAATATTCGTTTGTGTTCTACTGAAGAAACAAAGTCACCTACATCTTGGATGCCCTGGGGGTAAGCAGATAAACATCAAATTTTCATTTTTGGGTGAACTATCCCTTTAATTCGGCATAGTGCAACATGAGTCATCAAGATTTTTGATCCCAGAAGAGAAAAGGTGCAGTCACATTTACTGTCGTTCAACAAATTTTCAGGGGCGAAATCCAGTCATATCAATAGGAATCCATGCAAATTGGAATTTTGTGTGAGGGAGAAAGATTTCCCCACATAGATTTTGCAGTGGGTTCATGTTGGTCACACAGATTCACCGCACTGAAGCTTAAAAAAAAAAAATTGCTCCGCTGTTGACAATAGACAATGGACCTTTTTGCCCCCAAAATTTTGCAGAAATTTAGCTAATGTGACTGCCTAAGCACTGAAAATTTTAAATTGGTAAACATCAGTCAACTTTTAGTAGTATACTAGCATATACAGGTGCATCTCAATAAATTAGAATTAGGGATGCACGATATATCGGCCACCATATCGGTATCGGCCGATAAATGCTCATTTTTTCTGTTATCGGTATCGGCCCAATAAGCCAACATATGCGTTGAACTCTGATCATGTTTCATTTCTGTTTTTCTAGGATGTAAGTTGTCCAGTAAAGCAAGTGCCTACAGGTAAAAAGCAGGTGCCTCTGAACCCAGACAGCAGTCAGACCAAGCTGGGAGCTTTCCCCACACTGATAGTGCCCAGCCATGAGTTTGAACCCAGTAACAGCCACATGGTGAAGTCCTACTCCCTTCTGTTCAGAGTGTCTCGTCCAAGGGGGAGAGAACTCAACGGCATGACCACCAGAGATAGCAGTATGAGCTTCAGAGACTTTAAAGTAGCTGATGATAGTCTTGCACCTCAATTTGATGAGGCCTTTTTACCAAGAAGTTGTTTTCTTCTCAGATGTTATGGAAGAGCTGTCTAACAGGAAGAAGAGATACTGCTCTAATCAGGATGACGGAGAAACTACATTTGTGGCACAAATGACAGTTTTTGATAAAAATAGGTAAATGTTCTAGGTTAAATAGCTTGTTCTTGTAGTGTTTAGTTGCTTTTTGTTTGCTTGTCTGGTTTAAGACCAGACTTCTTTCTTCTTTCAACAGACGCCTCCAACTTTTGGATGGCGAGTATGAAGTCTCCATGCAGGAGATGGAGGAGAGTCCTGTAGGCAAGAAAAGGGCAACATGGGAAACCATACTAGATGGGAAGGTCAGTTGCAGGTGGTGGTTTTTATTAGTCTGCATGTGTCTATTTGAGATGTTTGTATGTCATTATTTGAGAACCTGTGTTTCAGTGGCTTCCACCCTTCGAGACCTTTTCTCAGGGACCCACGCTGCAGTTCACTTTGCGATGGACTAATGACACAGCTGACAGGGGAACAGCACCAGTGACCAAACCGCTTGCCACACGCAATTCTGAATCCAGCACAGTAGACGGCAGCAAGCCTAGCAATGTAAAGCCTCCACAGGCAGTAGGTAAGATCACAAGCGCTGGTTAGTGATTACAAGTGAAAATCACTAACATTTTGATCTTTAAAGCATAACAGTTTGTGTGCAGTACTGAGGATTCTGATCATAACAATGACGTTTGATTGATTGCAGCTCTTAATGATTCAGTTGGCGCTGGTCTACCAGTAAGAAGAGAACAAACTCATGTCGAACCTCGTCAGAAACTACGTGTTTATTATCAGGTAAGTAACATGATCTATAAATGTATCTAACAATACCAACAGTGCTTTCAAACTACACTATACTCACAACCACAGCACTTATCAGTGATCCCAGGCCTTCATATTGACTATAAAAAGGGCAGGGAGTTTCCTGTGATTCTCTACATCTTTCCACTGTAGATTTTATTGTATCATATCACCATGAGAGCGCTGGAGTCCATAAGTCCTGCCTTGACATTTTCCTCTGACTCATTGTTGGTCTTGTATGTTGGGCTGATGTGTGGTCACGGTCTGTTGTGTCCATCACCTTGTTTTGTAGTTCCTATACAACAATAACACACAGCAGCAGACGGAAGCCAGAGATGACCTGCACTGTCCCTGGTGCACGTTGAACTGCCGTAAGCTTTACAGCCTCCTCAAGCACCTCAAGCTCTCTCACAGCCGCTTCATCTTCAACTATGTGGTGAGAAACATCTTAAGGTTATGAAACTGTCACCAGACCACATGGATTATGTAGTCATAATCAGTGTAACACCACAGTGTTTACACATGTTGTGTGAATCAATCTGTGAATGGCTTACTCGTAGTTGAGCTGGGTTAAACCATCATAACCTTTAAAAAATGATTAAAAGGCTCATATGTTGCAATTCAATTTTTTCCTTTGTCTTTGGAGTGTTAAAAGCTGTTTGTGCATACACAAGATCCGCAAAGTGTTGCAAAGATTAAAATCTCAAACCCAAAGAGACGCCCTCCTAAAATGCCTCGTTCAAACACGCTCCCACATATCTACGTCCCTGTGTGGGAAGATTTGCATAACACTGCCCAAATGTATACACAAAGAAAGAAGGCGTCACTTTGATTCGCTCTGTAGTGTTGTTTGCTGCCACCGTCGTGGAGACGCTGTGTTTCGTTACAAAAGCCAAACTACTTTGTTTGGCCTTCCAAAAGAGGACACAACTAGAAATCAGTGGTTAAGTTTTATTTACAACACTGTTCCAGAACAGTTCAACCCAAATATTCGAGTGTGTGCAGCGCATTTTACGGAGGTAAGTTTCCTGAACCTGTAAGAGGTGTAACATTTCCGTCACACGCTTGAGGTATTCGGCCAATCACAACGCACTGGATAGCTGACCAATCAGAGCACACCGCGCTTTTCAGAACGATGAGCTTTGTAAGAATCAACGCGTTTCAGAAAGGCGGTGCATAGTGGAGCAACCATAATGTACAGTATGTAGAAAATAATGTTTTTTAACCTTTAACATAGTAAACGCATTGCATTACACCAAATACACAAAATAGCAACGCCATATGACCCCTTTAAATATGAGTTTTCTGACGGATGAATTGCAGTGCAACTTAAACAAATGTAGTCCATATTTGGTTGAAATGTTTATAGTGATGAAGACATGTTTATATCACCCAGCCTCATCCTAAAGGAGCCAGGATAGATGTGTCGATTAATGAATGCTATGACGGCTCTTACGTGGGCAACCCTCAGGACATCCACTGCCAGCCTGGCTTTGCCTTCAGCCGTAATGGCCCAGTGAAGAGGACTCCAGTTACACACTTCCTTGTCTGCAGGTTTGTGTGGTTTTAAAAAAATGATTGCATGGTCTTCTGAGTCTTCTGTTGTGATTACACACACACACACATATATGTGTGTGTGTGTGTGTGTGTGTGTATGTATGTATGTATATCATAATATATTTAAAATTTAATCAAAAATGTGTTTGATATTGTTTAGCCATTATTTCCCCCATTGACTAGTCAGTTATTTTATTTGAATGCTAACCAAAATAGGTTGTTCATAAGAATTTAATGAAGCGTCTGGCATCAGTGCTAAAACAGCTGGTTTATGTTATATTATATAATACGAGTCAAAAATAACTCCACAGTAATGCATTATAAATATCACTGGACGAGCTGTGTTCTACTCCATTGTAAATTGGTGATATGCTCCTTTTACCACAAATCAGTTGAATTCACACTGACTACCATTCAAACGTTTGAAGTCGGTAAACATTTCTACAGTACATACTGTCATGCCGCCCAGGCCTGTCACAGACCTAGCATCCATTTCTTTGAATCTGGTGTTAAAACACAATGTTTCGGTTTCCTCAGGCCCAAGCGCTCAAAGCCCAGCCTCTCAGAGTTCCTGGAGCCCGAGGATGGAGAACAGGAGCAGCAGCGGACGTACATCAGCGGCCACAACCGCCTGTACTTCCACAGCGACAGCTGCATGCCGCTTAGACCACAGGAAATGGATGTGGACAGTGAGGACGAGAGGGATCCGGCATGGCTCAGGGAGAAAACCGTTATGGTGAGGAAGCCGTCACAAGATTGTTAACCCTTTCGGATTCCATAGCAATTACTAGGTCAGACTGACTCTAGATGACAAATTAAACCTCAAGACAGTTGCTGTGCCATTTATGACTCAGCCTGTGAGAGATGGGAATACAGTATATGCTTCCACAGGCACAACATGTGTTCAAATCACATCTGAGGAGGATGTTACAGCGTGTTTGATGTTAAGTTGCATTAAATCAATGTTGAAGTCTGAAGGGTTGATTTTTATCTGCAAAATAGCATTGTTGTTCAGTGACTTAAGATATCAAGCACCCCCTTAATCTGAAATTGCAAACACGTTTTTATTATTTACCATTTTAAATGACTTTGATCATCTTCACTACCCCTCAGCAAATCGATGAATTCACGGATGTCAATGAGGGAGAGAAAGAGGTCATGAAAATGTGGAACCTGCATGTAATGAAACATGGGTATGTTTTTTTTCACCTCTCCTTCACTCTGGTCCTTTCTGTTTAAAGTTTGTTGTACTGAATCAATCCTCTCCTATGAAATGCAATTCTTTGTATTACAATGGCCTCACTTCGCATGTTATGCGAGTTCATCTCTCAGAGCTTGGTCACATTTCTGCCAGTAATTTGCTTATTTCTTTCTGTGCAGATTCATAGCTGACACCCAAATGAATCAGGCCTGCATGTTGTTTGTGGAACAGCATGGCACCACCATCATTGAGAAGAATCTGTGCCGGAACGTTCTGCTCCATCTGGTCAGCATGCACGACTTTGGCTTAGTAAATACAGGGAACATAGATAAGGCCATGGCTCAGCTGAGAGATCTGAAACGGCAAAGAGATGGCCAGGAGCAATCCAAAACGCAAGACGATGCTGATGGCGGATCCAGCGGCGATGGTGAAGCCAGTGTTTCAAATTTCGTCAAGACCAAGAATCACTGAAACGCCTCCTCACACTCTGCGTTGAATTGAGTGTCAGCGGGCATCAGACGCCCCCTGGATCTGAGAGCCACCATATTCTGCTCGCTCACGGGGTTAAAGTTGATGCCGAGTTAGAAGCGAGCTATGTGGTTTGACGGCCACATACTCTGCAGATCATGATTTTGGCCTGAGGTCATCTGAATTCAGAGCAACTCTTTACTAGATTCGAATTACTTGAAGATGCCATTAGTCTTTATGATGGACTGTACAAGCAGGTCAGATTTTTCTCCACCCACATAACCCTGTAGCTCTAGCAAATTTATAGCACTTGTTTTAGGTGCCTGTTTTTAAAAGGACTATGAGAAGATTTTTTTAATATATTTTGAATATTGATGGATGGAAATGGCTCCTACAAACTTGCTTTTACTGCATATTTTTCAAAGGGGTTGATAGACTCATTCTGAAAACATTTTAGTTTTGCTTGTGTATAGTTTTTTTTGGTGGAGTTTTTCAGCATTTCAGTTTGTGCCACCCCAAGTTGTTTTCTTTTGGAATTTGTCTGGACCAAAGTTTTGTTGGGTCTTTCTTGGTGGCTTAGTATCCACTTTAATGTTGCACCACACTTGAAGACTTCAAATGACTTTTTTTCTTTGGAATCTTGGATTGAGGAATGAGCATCCGTGCTGCAGGCCATCTGCGTTTACACTGCAGTGTTCAAGTTTATTTTAGAGCCTTAATTCCACTGACCTTGCAACACGTACATACAGGTACAGGGTGCTACAACACAGTAGGGTGGGGGATGTCTTGCAGAAATGTTTACACTTGCCTTATCCATGGAAACATGGACTCTTAAGCAGGGTTTGAACTTTTGGTCTAAATTAGTGCAAACAGGTTTCATTTATTCTTGTTTGAATAATTTCAGTGATGCTTTACGGCGCACAATACTGTGTCCAGTTCAATATATACATTTGATCATGGTGCATCTGCTCTGGTGTGTCCATCAATTTACTTTACGTTTCCACTTGTCCTTCATGGTGCCCATTTATTTGATTTTCAGGTGTTTCTGAGGAAACCTGTTGTAACGTGTACATAACTTTAGTGACATGATGGCTTTGCTGATGGTGACTGCTTTCCGGAAGGAATGTTATTTTAGACCAAAGTGAAATGGCTATAATGTTTGTCTAGTTGGCTTCGAATCAGAAATGCAAGTTTTCATAGTTTTTTGTTGTTGTTGTTGAATTCATGTGTTTTAAAAGAAAGGGATCTCTTTGTGAATCATTACTACTTTATTTCGCTAAAACTGTGCACTGGGTTAAAATGTTTTTCATCAAATACTTAACTGGCTGAAGCTGTTGCGTAATTGCAATTTGCATTACACTCTTAATAGGGCAACGATTACACAAGATGTGGATTACTGATATAAATTAATGTTAAAAAAGATATTTATATCTTGAATAGGAACATTATGAAACCTGCTTGAGTTTCTGAATTATGCTGAAATGTGCTTGAGGTTGCTCTTTATTTAAAATAAAGATTTTTTTTGTTTTGTTTTACAATTGATACCTCACAAGTCTTGTTCATAAATGAATGATTTTTTTTTCTTTTTTTTTCTTTTGAGTAAACATTTGCCAAAAAAAAAAATCAAGAATGTTTAAATGTTCCAAACTGTTTATTAAATTGCAAATGCTCAGTTGTATTCTTACAGCTGTACTGCAAAGGCACAGACAAAATGAGGTAAATACATTTTACGGTCACAGTTTTATAAATATTGTAAAGATCAGATCTTTTGTGGGTGTATCGGTGTCGGGTTACAAATGTTCTCTGCAGTGAGGAATTATATAGTACCTTGTAAATTGTTCTTTTATCTCAGGAACATGTGAATTGGGTGCTTGTCCTCTTATTTTGTCAAATGTTTTTCCTCTAAAATCTCCAACTGATGCAACAGAAACATTACTGTAAGGTAAAAGCCAGCTAATAAAAACATGAAATGCTACTGTAAGACAGGTATTTGTCAAAATGTGAACATTAAAAAAAAGTTCATCTCAAAATGGCACAACATTTAAGCTTAGTGCGAATGATCACATTTCTGTAGAAACATTGATCTCTACTGATCAGAATTGTTGCCTAAGTTGTGAACAGGCTGATACATGAACACTCTACCCTGTGATGTAAAAATGAAAAACAGTACTTTCTAAATGAGAACACATGGCAAACATGAATTAAATACTAGTTGTTTTATATGCTACTGTGTTCTAAAATGACATTCAGCTGTTCTAAGTACTAAGGATACATTCTCCACTTCTGACTTGAGGAAACTGAAGCAGAAAGATTGTCTGAGCATAAGAGATTAAGCTTTGTTGTTCGTTGCGAAGGGTTTTTTAAACATTTTTTCAAGTAGTTTGAGTGCCTATGATCTCTGAATGCTTCACAGTAGATTTCTTTTCTATGGTAAACCAGACTAGCATGCTTTGCAACTTAACACCAGCAGGTTAAGACTTTATTAGACACCAACTCTAACATGTAACAGTCTCTATTGCAAAGAAGTACTGTTATGCAAATACCACAACACCTGTCCACCTGTAATGAGGTTAAAGAGTAGTGGTTGGCGTCATACATCAGAACAAAGTTTAATGTTATTCTGCAGTGATATGTGGTGCTGATAGAAAGAAAAAGGGCAAAATGTGACATCTGAACACTGTAAGCACTTGGGAAGTGATAACGTTAAAGAAACTTGAGGTCTTGAATTCCAGCAGACTGGATCTTCCATCATGCAACAATCAAAACACCAGTGCTTTCCATCCAGGGTGCGTGAAGGAGCAGCCAAAGAAAAGGCTGTCCACCACCTGATCCAGCAGCCAGTCAAACACCACTTCCCTGTTCCCTGAGCCAATCGTCACCCTCAGCTTGAAGTTTCCCCCGTCGCTGGGGTTGTTATTGTTGCTCACAGGAAAGAGGTTGACCACTTCCATGTCAAAGGTCACAGAAGAGCCAACAGTGATTGCTGGTAGCTGGTTGGTCATCTCTTTTCCGTTCACAAACACAGCACCTGGAAAATGGAAAGCACATGGGAATTTAACACTAATGTTCACTGCTGTCGCTTTAAACTTCAGCAAAAGTGGCATTAGTCTGTTCATTTCTTTAAATCAGCTTAAACTATCCATTTCAGTGAATCAGTTTAAAATGGACTTAATTCATTTGAGTCACTGTTTATAAAACTCCCAGAAGTCTGTCAGTGTTCATTTAATTGTTTTAGCAATAAACATTAATACTTACCTAACATTTCTTATGCTTTGTTAAACTGATTACATATCATTTTGGCTTGTGTTTATTTAGTTAACACTGTCTGGAAATTAAGCCGTGATTATTTCTAGATTGTTACTATACTTTTTTCTTTCATTAAACATTTAAAAATCAACATGGCAGCAATAGCTGTTTGGTCAAAATTATGTTTCCTCCATCTCAAAGAAAAATACTTTAAGCCATTTTGGCACGCATAAATATCAACTGTTCAAAAGTAGTTTTTTGCAACGATACATTTTGTCAAATGTGACAAAATCATTTGTATTGTTATAAAAGATTTATTTTTCAAATAAATGCTGTTCTTTTGAAGTTTCTATTCATCAAAGAATCCTGAAAAACACTACATAAAAACAAAATATTAAGCAGTACAACTGTTTTCAACATTAATACGCATTGATGAATACGAGAAATGTCTGCTGAAAATTCAGCTTTGCCATCACAGGATTAAATTACATTTGAAAATATATTCAAATAGAAAAATGAATATTTTGAATGGTAATTATTTCACAATATTACATGTTTTACTGTATTTTTGCTCAAATAAATGCAGCCTTGGTGAGCAGAAGAGACTTTTTCAAAAACATGAAAAAATTAGAACCGACCCCAAACTTTTGAACAATAATGTATATACTGAATATCTTAAAAAGGTGTATAAATATTATGATAGTTTATACTGTCCTGCTCGTACCATTAGTGGAGATGCAGACAGCCTGATCCCTCTGCAGTGAGTCTGTGTCAGTTCTGCTGTCCGCACACACACCCAAACTGTCCCGCTTTTCTGTCTGTCCAGCAGCTGTGATCCTGCAAACAAACCACAAACCAAAAAATGAGCGGGACATATGATAAGCCTGCTGATATTTGTTACTGTAAATTTTTTTATTTGCGACGATTCTGCATCTTTCCGTTGTTTTGAATAATTGCTATATATATTGTTATATGATCTTAGCCTATTTATAGCGTCCCACTGTCATACAGCCCACAGCTGATTTGCTATGAGAATATGTGGAAGAATGAAACGCTGATGTACTTGAAGGTGAGGGTCTGGCCACAGAAGTACGTGGGGGAGCTGGAGTACAGAACACCCCCGTGACCAGGTGATGAGTCATTGCGCATGGCGATGTTCTTCCTACTGCTTAAAATGTAACCATCCATGCCTGGAAGCCATTCTGCAAACGCACAATAAAACAACCTTCATGAAACACTTCCACACTCAGTGGAGGCGTTTTATGAAAGGGGCTTTCTTAGTGAAGCTGCCCAGCTTGTCCTCGTTCTCATTTATACCACAGCGGATGGCAGCCTCCCCTGAAGGAACAGTCACATTACATTCATAACTGAACGTTAGGCAGTAAAAATTGTAAACTGTAGCAAATAATCAAATGAGCTCTTGAGGAAATTACAGCAACCAAGATGTTATATGGTGTCAGCACTGTTTGTGTTAAACTGTAAAAAACACTTAAACATTTAATCAGCTAACAATTTAATAAGTGGCAATTATCCAAATGGCAGGGCTCAACAAAAACAATTTTTTTTCTTCTGCTGGTTCATATGAGCCAGTAGGTTAAAAAATGTGATTATTTTAAGGGGGGGGGAATATGTTCTATACCCACTGTACTTTCAGATAATCAAATTGCTGCTATTTATTAAGCATACGTCCAGCCTGATTTTGTATCATACCACTGACATGGGGAAGTCGTGGCCTAATGGTTAGAGAGTCGGACTCATAACCCAAAGGTTGTGGGTTCGAGTCTAGTACCGGCAGGGATTGTAGGTGGGGGGAGTGAATGTACAGTGCTTCAATACCATGACTGAGGTGCCCTTGAGCAAGGCACCGAACCCCCAACTGCTCCCCATAAATGGCTGCCCACTGCTCCGGGTGTGTGTTCACGGTTTGTGTGTGTTCACTGCTGTGTGTGCACTTTGGATGGGTAAATGCAGAGCACTAATTCTGAGTATGGGTCACGTCACTTTCACTTTCACATAGTCCTACAATCTTACATATGAAAGAAACTGACTGCTGGCCCTTGTCTAAATCTAGGCTAAATCTAATGTCCTGATCTGATAAATACCTTCTCATAACAAATATGTATGGTCTTTACATACGTTAAATCCCATGAAATCAGATTAGTGTGACTGTAGTTGAAGAATAAACAATGACTGGCCAGCCTTCCATTGACCTGACAGACCCACCCTCTCGGAGCAGCTCATCAGCTGTGCTGACTCCATGCTCAATGAGCTTCTGACAGTCATCTAAGGGACTGACACTGTCCAGCTCGATGTTGTCAACCTCTTGCAGCAGAGTGTTCAGCCTCTCTGTCAGCAGTCGACTCACTGCCGTCTGCAGCTCCTGAAAGTGCCGTTGCAGAGCCTCACGTGTCTGACTGGCACTGCCGCGCACCTGAACACACACACACACACACACACACATACATAAAGACAAAATTTACATACAAACATCTCCAATACATTGAAGGTTTGAGGACAGTTCACGGAAACATTAGGAAATGTTATACATATACATATATATAGCTTAATAAATCCATATTTCCACAAACCACAGCCTAAAAAGAAATGTTTACATTTTGATTTTAATCTAGTGCACTATTTAACCAGGACTGTTTTCTAAACAAGGTTTGAATTACAGTGATTAACAGATGGTGTCTGTAATGGCATTTCATAACTGATATTTTAAACAGGATGCTGATGAAGTTGCACCAGGTAGCACAAGAAAATGATCCGTAGTTATGTTAAATTATGGTAAATGAGAAGTGTTGTAAAAAAATAAAAAAAACACTACTGTAAAAAGATTTGCGGTCCGTGAGATATATATATTTTTTAATGTTTTTGAAATGAGTCTTTAATGCTGACCAAGGCTGCATTTATTTTATCAAAACATTTTATCAAAACAGCAATGTTGTGAAATATTATTAGAATTTACAATAACTGTTTTTTTTATTTTAATGCATTTTAAAATGTGATTTATTCCTGTGAAGGCAAAGCTGAATTTTCAGCAGTCATTACTCCAGTCTTCCAACCTTTATGAAACACTTCCACACTCAGTGGAGGCGTTTTATGAAAAATTTCCACAGAAATTTGTACATCATTTACTCAGTCTCAAGTAGTTCCAAACCTGTATGAATTTCTTTCTTCTGCTGGACATAAAAGAAGATATTTTGAATGTGGGTAACCAAACAGTTGCTGGTCCCCATTGACTTCCATAGTATGGAAAAAAAACTACTACTTGAGGGTGAGTAAATGACAGAATTTTCATTTTTGGGTGAACTATCTCTTTAAGACACCCAGTATATCATTAGAGCGCGTTTGCAATACCAGGCGTCACTTTCACTTTCACATAGTCCTACAATCTTACATATGAAAGAAACTGACTGCTGGCCCTTGTCTAAATCTAGGCTAAATCTAATGTCCTGATCTGATAAATACCTTCTCATAACAAATATGTATGGTCTTTACATACGTTAAATCCCATGAAATCAGATTAGTGTGACTGTAGTTGAAGAATAAACAATGACTGGCCAGCCTTCCATTGACCTGACAGACCCACCCTCTCGGAGCAGCTCATCAGCTGTGCTGACTCCATGCTCAATGAGCTTCTGACAGTCATCTAAGGGACTGACACTGTCCAGCTCGATGTTGTCAACCTCTTGCAGCAGAGTGTTCAGCCTCTCTGTCAGCAGTCGACTCACTGCCGTCTGCAGCTCCTGAAAGTGCCGTTGCAGAGCCTCACGTGTCTGACTGGCACTGCCGCGCACCTGAACACACACACACACACACACACACATACATAAAGACAAAATTTACATACAAACATCTCCAATACATTGAAGGTTTGAGGACAGTTCACGGAAACATTAGGAAATGTTATACATATACATATATATAGCTTAATAAATCCATATTTCCACAATCAACAAGGATGTTGATCCAGGAGCATGTTGTACTTGGTGAAATCACGTTCACCATTATGAACAGGGTCACGTGGGGATGAAAATGCCTGATGGACATGAACAGGGGAGGCCAGACCCACCTTACACCAGCGCACCAGCACACCGCCTGGTCTCTCCACCAGCTCCTCAATCTGGACGGGCGGATGAGAGGCCACGCTGCCGTGCCGAGCCACGTGCGTACGGAACATATGCAGCAAAGAGTCGTCCAGCTGCGCAGACAGACATGGCACGTCCACCAGCACAGGTACCTCAGGCAGACTGAGGACACATTGTGACGACACATGTATTTACATATACTGTATCTGTTCATGATTATATATAAATTTTTGTGCATTTAGAACTTTATCGACAACTGGTATGGACGCTAATACAGTTATCATTATCTTCATAGTTAATGTTATTGGTGTGAACGGGCCTTTAGCGTGGTGTTAATTGCTCCTCAGATTTCTTTTATAAGTATGTTACCGTGAACGTTTCAACAAACATCTCCAATACATTGAAGGTTTGAGGACAGTTCACGGAAACATTAGGAAATGTTATACATATACATATATATAGCTTAATAAATCCATATTTCCACAAACCACAGCCTAAAAAGAAATGTTTACATTTTGATTTTAATCTAGTGCACTATTTAACCAGGACTGTTTTCTAAACAAGGTTTGAATTACAGTGATTAACAGATGGTGTCTGTAATGGCATTTCATAACTGATATTTTAAACAGGATGCTGATGAAGTTGCACCAGGTAGCACAAGAAAATGATCCGTAGTTATGTTAAATTATGGTAAATGAGAAGTGTTGTAAAAAAATAAAAAAAACACTACTGTAAAAAGATTTGCGGTCCGTGAGATATATATATTTTTTAATGTTTTTGAAATGAGTCTTTAATGCTGACCAAGGCTGCATTTATTTTATCAAAACATTTTATCAAAACAGCAATGTTGTGAAATATTATTAGAATTTACAATAACTGTTTTTTTTATTTTAATGCATTTTAAAATGTGATTTATTCCTGTGAAGGCAAAGCTGAATTTTCAGCAGTCATTACTCCAGTCTTCAGTGTCACATGATCCTTCAGAAATATTTTTGCTGCTTATATATTATATATATTTATATTATTATAAATAAATATGTTATGGAGCAAAGAGTCGTCCAGCTGCGCAGACAGACACGGCACGTCCACCAGCACAGGTACCTCAGGCAGACTGAGGACACATTGTGACGACACATGTATTTACATATACTGTATCTGTTCATGATTATATATAAATCTTTGTGCATTTAGAACTTTATCGACAACTGGTATGGACGCTAATACAGTTATCATTATCTTCATAGTTAATGTTATTGGTGTGAACGGGCCTTTAGCGTGGTGTTAATTGCTCCTCAGATTTCTTTTATAAGTATGTTACCGTGAACGTTTCATTTTTTTTCACAAACTGAGGGATGAGTCAGTATTATTTCCTGATCTATTTGTTCTCTTATAATTAGGCTTAATTGACAAAAATTTATATTATAGATTGAAAGGATCATTCTAAAACACGTTCTAAACGTCTAAAACACTTTCAGATTAAAGATTTTTTAAAAGTGTTTATTCTAAAACAAAAGTTAGTATTTAAATGGAATCCACAATGCCACAATTATTGCTGTAATGACTGTAGGCATGTTAAAACTTGATCCTGGGGTACATTTTAATAATGTAAAATGAATCATAGCTAAGGCAGCATGGTTTTATAAAGCTAAGCTTGAGTGATTCAGCACACCCCTGCTGGTACAGTTGCCATCTCTCCATTAAACTTTGAGAAGATGCAGCACAAAACACAAAACAGACGAGTCATAAAAACCAAGCATTAGTAAAGGTTAGGTGATAATGTTGTTTTTTTTTTAAATGAGTGCTTTAGTAATTATGTGAATTAGTCTTCTGAACTTCAGGAAAAGAGGGCTTTGCTTTCTGTGCTCTCAAGGTCTGAATCTCCATGCATTCAGTGTTTCTAGACATGGATTGAGAGTGATGGTGTGATATCAAAGCTCTTCTCCATTCACTGGCCCAGCTGAGGTTAGTTAAGTGAATGAATCTGTGTGCTCCTCACCTGTCCAACTGGATCTGCAGGGCTTTCTTAGTGAAGCTGCCCAGCTTGTCCTCGTTCTCATTTATACCACAGCGGATGGCAGCCTCCCCTGAAGGAACAGTCACATTACATACTCCAGTCTTCAGTGTCACATGATCCTTCAGAAATATTTTTGCTGCTTATATATTATATATATTTATATTATTATAAATAAATATGTATGTATATATAATACTAGTGTTGAGCAATATGCTACATAAACATACTGTCTTATCATCAGCATGTGAGATCGCCGATACAAAATATTATCATGCTAATTTATTTAATTATTTACATAGTTTCACAGCCGGAGAGTGAACCAACTCCAGGGTAAGGCTAAAAGCATGCAGTCTAATGTTACTGTAATCTATTAACTACACATTATATGTTTTTAGTAGGGCTGTGCAATATATCGAAATATCGCAAATGTACATATCGCAATATGCATATCACTACAGCTTGCAATATTTGGGGCCATGAACAAAAGACAAAGAGAAAATCCCTCACTGCTCTTACCTAAATAACTTTTGTAGTTTAAATAAGAATCAGTGCATATTGAATTCAAAGAGTAAATACTAAGCAGTGTTTTATTTTTCCTTTTTATTATTCAGTTCCTAAACTCATGTTAAAATTAAATTTTTATGTAATGCTCGAGCAATGTAGGGGTGCTTTCTTATTAGAATCAGAATCAGAATGAGCTTTATTCACCACTTAAGCGTGCGCAAACACAAGGAATTTGTTGTGGTTTTAAAGGAACTCTTGGTACATACATACATACAAATAACCATATATATATACCGTATATGACACAAGATAGTTATAGAAGTTCACAGAACTTACTCAGCAACCGTTTCATCTGAGCATGTGGCACTTTAAGCATTATAGTATTGCATATTGAATATCGCATTATTTAATGAGTTATCGCATATCGCATTTTTCTTCAATATCGCACAGCCCTACTTTTTAGTCAAGTAGAATATGGATGTCATAAAATATTTTTAATATGACTGAATACGTGTTTAGCATAACAGTTGAATAAAAACACTGAAAGTTACTAATTCTAATATTAATAATATTAATTCGATAATAATACGACTATCAGCACAACCCAAAAAAGTATTGTACAAATGTAACATGTCAGAGGAAATAAGTCCTCTCTGAATTGAGTTTAAGACTAAAGAAACAAGCTGATAATTAAATAATAAGCCTGATTTGAATGCAAAATACAATTCTACTGTTATAGAATGCAAATACTATTACAGTAAATCAACAAACCGATTCAGAAATTTAAAGGTGTTAATTTAATCATATACGTAATGAGGGTTGCATAAAACTGAGACAGGAACTTTGTCTGGTATCATCTGGTAAGTCATGTAAATGTGCCAGTCTTGTTTTGTACATGAAGTGTAGGTCTGAAAGCGGAAGTGGTGAGAATTGAATGGCACATTTCAATTTTCTTGATGCATCTTTCAGACAAACTGCTTCACCTTCAGTAAATGAAGCCAAGAGTGACAGGAAGCCTAGCGGTTTTCAATGTAAAAAAATAAAAATAATAAAAGTTCCTCTTGTGAACATGAAACTTGTGCTTGCAACAAAAGGTTAGCTTGGGCTCTTCAATGCCACGTATCAATGAACATTTGTATGTTCATTGATACATGCTTCAACTAAATTATGGCCCAGTACACTATAGCTTAAAACCTAGTGAACTATCACATACAAGCAATCTTCACACTGACATAAAAGGAGATGTTAAAGGCAAAATTACGCTCTGTAATTTTAAGAATTCCTTGAGTCATATTTCTGGAATGAGGAAAAGTCTCATTATAGTCCCTTATAATCAGTGAAACGAAACAAAGCCCTGGGCAAAAACTGTAGACAGAAACACACACAACAGACCGCAGTGGAAACGTGTTGACAATTTACACCACGGAACTCAACAGACTGCCGTCACAGTGTGTGTAGGTAAAGATAACGCCCTGTTGTCCAGGAACTGGGAAGAGAGTCTAAAATAACACAGATAAAGTGGTGCAGGATAAATGGATGAAACCCAAAAGAGACGGTGATATTAATCGACCTTCGTGGAAAGTTCCAGACTTCGCTTTGTTTGCAGCTGACGCAGGAAATGCTTCTGTCCAGAGACGTGCATCATTCCTCATACGTTGCAAGTCTTATCAGCATCAATCTGAACATTTCGAGCCAGGACAGAATCCTCTGCCTAAATATTGTTATTCGTGACAATGTGCTGTGAGGTGTGTGTGGAGGGAGGAGGCAGGACCTCAGGGCTCTGCTGCTTTGGGTTTTGGGCGTCGATTAGAAATGCTGACTCCCCATCACAGGATGTTTAGACGTAGCCCAAAACTGGATCTCCGGGAAGAGGCTAAGTCAGTACGGTCCTATAAAAACCCTTTAGAACAAATGTATAATGTCAAACGCACACTGACACACATGGACACTATTCTTGTAGTTTTTTGTTTAGTGTAATATGATTCAAAATTATATTCTTAGCTTGTTCTGAGTTTGGATATTAATCAAATTCAAATAACAGCAACAGCAGATTCATCTTCCCATTAAAGCCCCAAATCATGCAGTTCCTTTTTTACTGCATAGCCAAATTTTGCAATCTTTAAAGAAAATAATAAAACATAACCCAATATACATATATTCATCTGCACACAACTTAATAATAATCATTATATTTATTTAATACATACTATCGACAGTCCATGTTTGCCCCAGATTTAAGTACAGAGCTAATTTTCATCTGCAGTCCAAATAATAATAATAATAAAATGGAAAAATGTAAATATAAATTTAGAGAATAAGAGTATATCTAGCAACAGAGTTACATTTAATCTATAGTCCCCGAGTAGGATTAATAATAATTATAATAATATAAAATGTGAAAAATATAAATGTTTGATGAGAGAATTCTAGCTACAGAGTTACATTTAATATGTAGGTCCTGAGCAGGATAATAATAATAATAATAAAATTATGAAAAAACCCCACTAAAAATATAGATGTTTGCTGAGAAAATATTAATACAGTACTGTGAAAATATCAGGATACTTTGATATAGATTTGGACCTGAACATGCATATGCCCTTTAGCTCTGTATGTTTCCAATGTTCTGGCTCGTGGGTAACAGGGTGTGGGAAACAGAGGCCCTTTGTAGGTTTTAAGGAAGCCTCAGTGGCTGAGACCTAGTGTAACAACTTAAAGAGGAAGTAGACTAGAACAGCTAATGTGAAATATACAACATTAAACTCAACCACTGACCGGGAAGCTTCTGTTCTTTTAATACATGAAGAATTACAATACAGATGAGCTTCTACAACTGGAAGCTGGAAGTAGTTCTGCTCATGCAGAAAAAAAAAAAAAAAAAAGTAGTTTGACCCAAAGATTGACCACAAATGTTGTGTCCTTGCTGTGAATAACGGAGCAAGTGATATGATCATATCAGATGGGATGCACATATGTGATCTCCCCAAGACAGCTGCACACGCTGTGAGGTTAATCACAGTACCGTGGGGCGTCATGCAATCACTAGTCAATGATCCTAAAAGTTTGGTTTAATTCTCTGTCCTGTGTAGGATGTGAGGAGCGAGAGCGTAAACCTTCTCTGAGTTTACAGTCTCATAAGAAGAGCAGGAAATTACAGCCTTGTTTACACACTGAATGAGGCATTCTGAGAGGTGGGGGGAGGAGGAAGTTGGGTAAGATGCCAGAAGTCAAGTCTGAAGATAACAGCGAGCAGCAGGCCGGCTTTACATCCTACAGCCACCCCGGGAGACATGTGGCATGAATCAGCCCTTCTGTGCTGACCAACAGGCTTCCTGGCACAGAGGATGCAACTCACTTCACCGAGACAGCGGGAGTATCATTTACCCTCGCTCTCTCAAAAACACCCACATGTCACAATATTTGGTTACTGTTTAGGGAACCACTAGCTTTGTGCAGCTGAATTGTTTCTGGCATTTTCAACAATGTGTTTGATGATTTTGTTGTATTATTTTAGGCAATAGTGCATGCTGGGTGAGATCAATAGCAATTTCATTACTGTCTCTATGGGGTTGGCTTGACTGTAACAATGTGTCCTAACCAGACGGGATGAGATAAAGAGAAAACAGCGAACTCCTCCATGTAAATCTGTTTTTATGATAACCAGCCATGACCGAGACAAGGGATAAGCAAAAGAGATGAGATGGAATTTTTTTCAGTTACTTCTATTTCTATTTCTGCCAGGGTTGTGTGCCATTCAGAATTGAATTGAGGATAGATAGCCACAAACAGCCACAGCCATATTAGAAATAGTCATATTTTATTGTATTTAATACATTTCACAATACAATTTTAGTGTTATTGTTAAAACTATTTAGTAGTTTTTGTTAATTGAAATGAAGCTGAAAAAAAAAACATAATAAAAGATAATTTAAAATATTAATAAATATTACAATATTATATAAATAATACTAAAATAACACTACACACTTTTACTTTTATAGACCAAGGTTGAACAACATAAAATTTCCTAGATTACCTGTTGAATTTCATCAAATTATAATTCAGCTAATAAAGATGTAGATGTTCACTCAAATTCCAATTCAACTTTCTATGAAGTGTCACCAATTAAATTAAACTCCAACTTATGAGTTGAAAAATAGCCAATTCTTAAATTCTGAGTTTTGGCCAACCCTGATTTGTTGCCCCGCCCACTGTGAAATATTGTTTTAAAATACTACCATATATTGTAGTATTTTACTATATATCCAATTAGAATATATTCTGATTGGCTGTTATTGTGTCACGTTGCACAGCAGTACAGCAGTTTCTGTGTGGACTGACACATTGCTTGTTGTTGGAAACCTATTTATTCTTTCAGTAGCAGTGCAGAGAGTCACAGCCGTACCTGTTTGCGTGCCTGGCTGAGTCCATGCAGTCTCTGCTGTAGCTCGCTTCTGTAGTTTTGGGCTGCTTCAATGCTCTCCTTCGCCTCCTGCAGCAACGCCTCTGCCTCTATTGACATCCTTGTTGACCTCTGCCAAATCACAAATATCAAGGTAAAGTGTAGGAAAACATTCCCATTGATAGAGATAACTTTTACTTTGACTGGATTTATCATTTATGGGGTTAGAAAGCATTCGAGAGAAAGGGCATTTTCAGAAAATGTCATGCTAACAAAGCTAAACTAATAATAACAAGAGCATGAAATTCCACACAGGCCAAAAAACAGAGTCTGTTCTTCATGCTCATAACAAATTTAACAGCAACTTTATGAAACCATCAGGCCATCATTTCCACATCATGTGGATGTGAGGAAGCGTGTTTTGAATCATAACAACGCGTTCACAGCCTTATCTGTTGAAGTTTAGCACAAGAGAATGATACAGTTGTGTATACTTATGACTAAAAGAAATATATACACTATAACATTGAGAAACCACAGCCATGTCAACTGTTGTAGCAGTGCAAAAGTCACTGGAGTCATGGAAATGAATCACTGGCCTGAAGACTACATGTATCAAAAACAAGACCTGAACTGTGCTATAAACTCATACAACTAAATAGAAGCCGTGAGTCAAAGAGCAGCACAACAGTGTGAGCCACGGTTTTTGATAGGATGGCATCAGTCTGTGTGACACTCAACAAACTGCTGTGCCTGTTTGTGCTAGTTTAGACAAAAAAAATCTGTGAACAACCCAAAAATAATACACAGACCGTTGTCATGCTTTGGTGTGGATGCGAATATATTTATTGTTATAGTTATTATTCTTGGTCTGAATAGGCCTTTAGGCTGGTAGATCACATTTCTGCTGTTGTTTATGCATTTAAGAAGTTAATTGTCTGATTCAGCAAACTCAGCTCATAATTTTGCAGATCATGGTAATATTAATAAGTTAACATTTTTGTTTACTTTTGTACAATAAACAAATCAGGTACTGTGTTGGGTCACCACTTGATGTAAAATATGGATCTTGAAGCAAAAACATATTCGCACCAAAATGTATGTTAATAAACAGCTCTCACGTCTTTACTGATCAGGCGATCTCCTTTAAGGCTTGCATGCTACAATGAAACCACTTCCGTTGAAGATAAAATGAAAGCAACTGCACTTTTCTTACATGTGCCCATGTGGCTTAAATTCACAAGCATGACTGAACCTACCCATAGATACTACCCTGAACCAAAGCTACAACTCAACTTCTGTACAATAGTGCCTGTATAACACTGGTGTCATTGTGCAGGAGAGAACAGATGCCTTTTTGTTTATACGTGTAAATGAACTCAAATACCGTACAGGTGGATCGGCAGCAAGTTATTCAGTTTACCCTTGTTTAAAGGTGCTGACCTTAGTGCACAGAGTAGAGAATTAACCTATATATGTTTAACTCTCAAAAGCACCCTTTCATCTATACACCTATGTGAGAGAAAACTTAATTACAAAATGTGACCTGCACCAACAAGCCTGTGAGTTTCCACAAACATCTACCTTATGATCAATGCCCAAAAAAATGTTATGAGTTGCAACAGTGGCATATTTAGTAAATTTTGACAATTCATGATCAAGGCAAAGGGAGGGGTTCTCCAAAATCACAGTCTAATCCTCTGATTTAGCAGCAGGGATCTCATCCAGACTGGGGTTAGTAATCTAGGCAAAGAGCATTAAAACAAGCAATTACATTATCTATTATTCTTGCAGAATCCTTTCCCACAAGTGAATCCATCAGGGAGTACAGCGGAGGACTGGCTAACTTTCACAGGGACACGAATGACCTAGATTCAATGGCAAAAAAAAAAAAGACCTGCTGCCAAAAGACAATGTTGGGAATTCCAGAGTGAGATGTCTCTGATCTGAGGATCATGTGTCCTACTTCACAATCGGTGACCGTTCACTGATAAGGGCCACGGTTTAAAGGGCCCTTCTATTAAGATGAAGTAAATAAGATGCATTTAAACAAACAGAAGTGTTTATAAACTATCAGAGGTCTTTTGCATTCTGCTGCCCATCATCTTTACACGTATGCTCTTACCTAAAAACGTCCAATCCAAGCATAACAGGACAGCTATGTAAAGTGCAGTAATTCTCTTAAGGGCCATGATGATGCACCGTGCACACTCAACATGTTTATACATGTCCAAAAACGGTAGAAACGAAAGGCAGATGACAGAAGAGCAGCACACATAGTAAATATCAACATCAGCTATGAAAAACATCTCAAATGTTTAGCAATTATTTTCAAACTCAAAAAGCAGCAGTTCACGAGGCTCTTCTACTGTATGAGGACCGCCACACCAACACCCCATCACTTTAACTCATCAGAGCTTTACAGTAAGCTCTTCAAACTGCTCCACCTATAAACCTGCTCACGAAAAGACAACATCTCTAACATAGCAATGAAAAATAAACTGTAACAAAAACATATGCTATTATTAAGCGTTTTTTGTTGTATTACCTTACGCGATCCTAGCTTGTGTCATATTAACTTCTGCTCCGGAGTTCCGCCATTGACGCCCCGGCAACAGTAAAGAGCTCAAAGCACATATTTTCACTTTGATACAAACCTGTCATCCAATCAGATGCCGCAGTGCTGTGTTTTCCTCCTGTCTGCAGCCAGCTCTAGCCAATCAGATGATTAAACCTCTCTTGACCCCGCCCCATCGTTTGTTAAAAACCCAAAGCGCATGAAGGCGTCAGGTCCTTTGGCGTCAAACAACAAGTGAAGGTAACTTTGTGTTAATCGTAAAATGAGAGCGATTACCTTGCAGATGTTTACTATTTATGAACAGTATAAAAAGGCCAAGACTTTCAGAACGAACATCTACAAACAACGTTGTCACAAAGCGGAATACTGTGGAATATGAGAGTAGACTGTTTAGATACAGAGATTATAGTGCCTAGTTATTTATTGCAAAATATACTATCTAGAGTTTCGCACGCAAACTTATCGTTTTAAAAAATGTTTAAAATATTATTTATATATTTTCTATATTAATTTATAAGATTATTGCCTACCTGACCTGAAAAGAGAGTATTATATAATTAAGAGACATATATAATTAATAATTCATATGGGGGTTTCAGTGGCAGTTTAATGTTAGAGTAAAGTGTGTAATAATTTGCTGTGCTGGTGATTATTTTTGTTGTTGATTAGTTGGCTACAGTCAGGGTATGTGTTTACTATGCTGATGTTAAGTAGCTGCTTTGTGTGGGCAATGAAAGCCAATTATACATACTCATACAGTGTTATTTTGTGATGACTCATGAAATGGATGGTATTTTATGATATGAAATTGTACCGCTTGAAGTACAAAGCCCTTCTATTACAGTATGTTTGCCTCTCAAATTCTTCTAGGGTTCAGAAGGAGCCGCTTATTTAATCATCTAATCAACCTATATATATATAAGCTGCTGCTTGGCTCACTTAAGCAACAGTCCTTCTGGCATTTCTCCTCCATCCTCACTCCTTTAAGATATTCTGCCCTATATACAGAAGCTATCTTCATCTATTTAGTAGTCTCATAGGCGGTAAATTGGAGATTGAGTTGAGCTTCATCCTTGAGCCCTTCCTTTGCGTACAGCAAGCTAAATACCCTTTATCACTTATGAAGTAACATGAACATCATATGTATTCTTTAGGCAAATGTAAAATATCACTCCTATGATATGCAGTTCACCTGTAGTCCGCATGACTAACAGTGCTTGATGCTGGGATATTTCTCCTAAATATTCTTCCTCTTGCAAAGCTGGCTGTGAAAAAAAACGTAATTTATAGTTTAATCCTTTATTATGTTTTGGAATATTTATTGCACAAGAATATAGGAATTAAGCACTTATTATTTTACTTATTTAATATTATTTCAATTGTTGCTGAAAAATCTGTCTGCTATAAGCTTTCAGAACTGTCAGAAAAGGGTGTGAGACTACATGAAATATGATATTCTCACTTTTCATCGGAGTTGAATACAGCGTCTTTAGAAAGGGTGGTAGCCACAAGAGGCCTGTCTCCACCCATTCACTGCATTCTCTGCAAAAAAAATGAATTGAAAAGAAAACTGAATTGTAATGTACGCAGTGAACACTAGAGGTCTTCAAGTGTGGTATGGCATTTTAGAACGGATTTTCTATTATGTAACACTGGATGGCGCTGGATCACAGTCAACAGATGTTGTACATGGTCAGTACATGGTCAGTACATGGTCAGTAATGTCTGGATGAAGGATGTGCAGGTATTAATGATGGTGATGATTAGGGCGAATCAATGTTAGAGTTAAAACACGAATGCAACAGATCACTTTTCATATCATTAGTTTGTCATCTGTTTGTTAAATGTTTTCGCAAAGATTTCATATCTTGTGTTGTTGCTAATTGATTACTACTAAACCAGTGGTATGGGATCAGATTCCCGTCTAAAGTATTGCAGTCACGGATAAAAAAAATAACAAGCGTGAAAACAAAATTTAAAAACGCAAGTAAAAATATATTGCACAAGATTTAAAAATGAAAGCAATGTTTTCAGTATAGCAAACAATGGTCACGGATAGAAAAATAATAAGCGTAAATCAGAAAAATTAATAACACATAAAAAAAAAAAATAAGCATGAATCAAAACGTGAAAAAAAAATCATATTGCACAAAATTTAAATATTAATATTTTTACTTGCGTTTTTAAATTTTAAATTTCACGCTTGTTATTTTTTTTATCCGTGACTGCAATACTTTAGAGACGGGAATCTGATCCCATACAGTGTGCTACAGAACATTCTGGGATTGGATATTACTATTAATAATCAGACTGATTCAGATCAGAGCTACAAAGGATTTTGAGAGTTCACTTTTGAAGATGAAACATTATATGGACTTGTTTAGAAGTTTTTTTTTCTCAGTTCAGTTGTCAAAATTTACTTTCTCTTACATCACCTATATGACTTTTGCTTTTGTGGAACACAAAGATATAAGATATTTTGAAGTGGTAAATTTAGTGTTAATTAGCCGTGAATAGAACATGACAGTCAAGACTGGATTTTGCTCTGAAAGAGGGTCATTGTGCTTTGACTTGGATATAAGAATCTGAAAGAAACCCCATGTAGTAAGACAATAACTCTGACCAGACATTCAGGGAACAGTTTTGTTTTGTAGGCTTCATGCAGCCAAGCTCTTTTTGTACCCTAATTTGTAATCTTCAGTCTCCATCAAACTGAAGAACTGACAGCATTTGCTGGATTTGAGAGGTAAGAAAAACAAAACTGCAAGTGTTAATTTAGGTCCTTTTTTAAACTGGTAAGAAAAACAGAACCAAGGAAAATACCATAAATCAGTAGCATCCTAGACAGTGCAGGTCTGAAATGCTCAATCTTGCACTTGGAAATTAATCTTCCAGCATCCATGGAGATAAATTGGGAAAAAAATTATTTGAACTAACTAGTATGTATTTTATGTTACTAGTAGTTATTATTTTTATTATTAGTAGTACTAGTAATCAAATAGTGACTAATACTTTTTAATATTTTCTAATAGTGTCTAATATATTTTATTAACCAACATTTTAAATATCTACTCAGTGTAGTATTTATTCATTAGATACTACTTAATCCAATAGAGACTGTTAATTAATCACTAATAGTTTTTCATTGCATATTAATCATTATTCTTTTACTAATTCTTCCACATGTGACTGATTTGTTATAAGCATGTATTTATAAGAAAATAGTATTTAATGTTGTTGGTAACATTTCTTATGTAATTTGTTATTTGCTTTATGCACATGTAAATGGCTACTTTATAATTTCATTTTGTTAATATTTGTTACTAGTGACAATTTACCAATGTTTGACAATGGATAGTTGCCACTGTTGCACTATTAGTAAGGAAGTAGGCTATTAGTGACTAATTCATTGCATAGGCTACTAGTGAGATTATTTACTCATTAAAAATAATTACTAATAGCATAAAAAATACAAGTTCGTTTCAAGGTCTAAAGTTAAACGGGTTTCTGTATAGTGCTCAGGTGAGTTATGTTTTTGATCTGGTGCCATCCACTTTTGGCCGGTGGGTAAGGCTGGACAAGGCTGTTTTCAGCAGCATGTGCTATGATGTCCCGTAGCATGTGGCTGTCAGCACTGGAATAGGGGGGTGTTCCTACACTTTGGGACCGCCCTCTGGATGAAGCGGAGCCATTTACCACAGCAATGTCAGCCCAATCCGAGGCTGGGGAAATGCACATTGCACGGTCCTTGTGTGGACCCATCGCAGCACAGAAAATAACGGCGCGAGTAGGCTACTACGGAGCGATGGCACCGCCGTAGTGACTAATTCATTGCATAGGCTACTAGTGAGATTATTTACTCATTAAAAATAATTACTAATAGCATAAAAAATACAAGTTCGTTTCAAGGTCTAAAGTTAAACGGGTTTCTGTATAGTGCTCAGGTGAGTTATGTTTTTGATCTGGTGCCATCCACTTTTGGCCGGTGGGTACAAAACAAAAGTGCCAGCTACGGGACAAGGCTGTTTTCAGCAGCATGTGCTATGATGTCCCGTAGCATGTGGCTGTCAGCACTGGAATAGGGGGGTGTTCCTACACTTTGGGACCGCCCTCTGGATGAAGCGGAGCCATTTACCACAGCAATGTCAGCCCAATCCGAGGCTGGGGAAATGCACATTGCACGGTCCTTGTGTGGACCCATCGCAGCACAGAAAATAACGGCGCGAGTAGGCTACTACGGAGCGATGGCACCGCCGACTGATGCGTCTTCAGCACAGCCTCACGGATCCCAGGAAAAAACACTCGTGGGAATTTAAAGATGCATTGATTTAGCATATTTGAATGCATCGCATCAACTCCGCTCACGCCACCAAAACGTGATTGATCTGATGATGGTTTTCTAGAACATACTGTTCAGTTTTGGCCATCACAACAGACTGAAGATCCGATCCATCACCGATGCGTTAATCGCAAGTCCGTCACAGTGGTGCTAATATTATCTTCTCGACATCGGAATAAGAACATCTGTTGTGATTCATAGGAGCCAGTTGCACCAGCTCTATAGTATTCGAGCATCCTTCCGCCAGTGCATCATCATCATCATCATCATCATCGCGCCCTGCAGCTCCATCGCAAGAGGGAGGATCCGCAGAGGAGCTCTCTGGGCAACACTACACACACAATCAGAGGATGCTTTGGATGTAAAATAAATAACGATGGGGAAAGATCAGGAATTACTTCAAGCGGTGAAGACTGAGGACCTGATGACGGTGCAGAAGCTCCTGCAGAGGCCCAAACCTGGGAAAGCAAGTAGGTTTTGCTTGATTATAAAAAAGCGTTTACATTATTGCTTGCCATGTTATGGCTGATAGAGGCAAGAGAGATCGTGAGTAGGTGGATCTTCTTTCAGTTGAGAGGGCAAACACTTGCCCTACTCTTTAATTATGGCTAGAGATGTTCAGGATTTCACTCAAGCTGTTGAAAAGACCAAAAAATGTTGTTTTGGGTGCTGATGTCCTCATCAAGCTTCTTAACTAGCTTTACCATCAAGGTCAGTTATCTTGGTGAACATCTTGGTTTTGGTGGTCCACCAGTTAGACCAGTATGGAAATTCATTACTGGACCGAGCTGGTCTTTTTCAGCAGGAAAGAGGGTTCCCAGTGTTGGATACTGTGTTTTACATTATTGCTTGCCATGTTATGGCTGATAGAGGCAAGAGAGATCGTGAGTAGGTGGATCTTCTTTCAGTTGAGAGGGCAAACACTTGCCCTACTCTTTAATTATGGCTAGAGATGTTCAGGATTTCACTCAAGCTGTTGAAAAGACCAAAAAAATGTTGTTTTGGGTGCTGATGTCCTCATCAAGCTTCTTAACTAGCTTTACCATCAAGGTCAGTTATCTTGGTGAACATCTTGGTTTTGGTGGTCCACCAGTTAGACCAGTATGGAAATTCATTACTGGACCGAGCTGGTCTTTTTCAGCAGGAAAGAGGGTTCCCAGTGTTGGATACTGTGGTGTTCCCGACTTGTCATGTGATTATGGAACACAACCGATCCTGATGAACATCACATCTGTTTGAATTCACGATTGTTTATCACGATTTGTTTTTTTTTTTTAAGTTCTGAGTTATTCACTTGATTTGCAATGTGCAAGTTATCCTGATGTTTTCACCGTAAAGGGGCATTCAGATGTTAATGAATGCTGTTTGTGCATGATAATTATATGAACATTAATGAGCTTGTTTTGGAAATGAATGTCTTTCAAGAGGCAGAAAATTCTAGACACAGCTGTCTGGTAAACATGAAATATTTTTGTAATTGAGAAATGGGGGGAAAAAATCATCTGCCTGACATGGTGAGGAACAAGAATCCCCCAGTGAGACCCTGATTTGCTTGGCAGTTTCATATATTCAGTTGAAAAGCAAGTGTGAACATTCATATGCCCACCTGGATTGAGCTTCTCATTGATGTTCTGCTTTGAATACCACAAACTGAGGTGGCTGCACTTCAGAATTTATTGTGCTGGTCTGCTTTCTATCTGGTCTCTCCTCCACCACATCTGTGACATTATCAACAGCATCTCACACAACAGCTCGACTGAGGTTTCTTTGTCTTGCATGCCTGTCTGCGTCAAGCGTGTTCGGATTAAAATAACCCCGGGGGCTCAAGGCAGAGAGCCACGGCCATGACAATGCTCTTCTGAGCACCAGGCTCTGTCTCGGCGCTCGTCTCCTTTCCCCCCTTTGCCTGTTCTCCAGTGTGGCAGCAGCACACTCCTGCTCGGCTAAACACTGCCCCCTGTAATGATGGGGTGAACGAGCATGAGGTGCATCCACATCACTGCACTTTCACAATGGAATAGAGGGGAATGAGCTGCCAGTGAGCTTCATCACTTGTCTTTGTGCCACCGAAGCAACACGTACATTTATGCTGTAAACTATGACAACTTTTTGCCACTGAATATGTGTGAGGCTGCTCTGTGGGGGAAAAAACACTGACTGTGATTATAATCTTGGAGTATTATGGCTTTTATAGTTGGTTATTTCAGGACATGGTTGATTATTGTAAGTCATTTCACTTATATTATGAAGAATATAGGTGTTTTGAGAGCTACCTTTATGAAAATCTGTGTTCATATATTCATGAAACGCAGTAGAGCTTTACAGACAAGTTAATGCATTTCACACAAAACCAATGCATCAGCTTCTTCAAACAGAGAGTGATACACCTTTGTGAAAGTGTTGGTTGGATATTATTTAAAGCTCTACCTCTGTATTGGAAACACAAAGCTACCCAGAAGCCAATTAGTTCCCGTCACAGCAACTGCAGTCTCATGCTTGACAGTGATTGGTTGTGCTGGATGCTGTCTGAGATCTGTAACAAAGTTTTGGTCAATCGACTGAAATATGGCACCTGCATTTGTTTTGTACAAAAATCCTATTATGATAAAACCAAAGCTTATTCGTTCAAGATAATATTGACTATAGCTTTGAACAATCAAGTGGCTGGTAGCAAGACCGTTTGGCTTTGAGAACATTTTGGTATATACTCTGGAAATTCTAATGATTCTTAAACATAGAAACATTGACAGAAGACGGCAGATATTCATTCCTTTATACTTTTGTAAACATTTTAGTATTAATTTACAGTGTATTTCTAGCTGGTACTAGTACATTTATATTAGTACAGCATTTCATTTCCTTACAATTAAATGACCTCTTATTGAACAAGAGCAGAAAATATAGCAGCACTGTGATGTAGAATTACAATTATTATCTCTGTATTCATTATAGTAATCTTCCATATTCTCTGTATTCATTATAGTAATCTTCCATTTCTCAATAACACATTTAAAGATTGATTCTAATAGTTTGGTGTCCTGTGCTGGTGCTTAGGTTCCCAGCATGCATTGTGGCATAAATTATGCAGTTGCATTTGTATACTATTTGCTGGTTTATTTTGTTGTTACTTGGTTGTAATGTTCAGAGGTTTTAAATCTAAAATTGTTTGTTAATTTGTGAGTTTTGTATGCTGTTATCCATGTGTGCACATGGTAGTGCATACTTCTGTACTCAGTATTTATTTATGTACAATATTGCCACATTGCAAATGATGATCGATCTGTCTGTCTTAAAATAGCATGTATCTTGTAAATATTGGCAGTATGATGAGGGGAGTTCAGAAAACATCATAAAACTTCCCCCAAAAAGTGAAACGAAGCTGCTGGCCGAGTTCATATTTGCACTCACTGCCAGTCGATATTAAGACAGTGGCTTGGAGCCCTGTAGCTAATCCAAGTAGGCATGGGCCGGTATGAGATTCTGACGGTATGATAACCTTAGACAAAAATATCACGGTTTCACGGTATTGCAATTACAGCTCTAAAATATGTTATTTTTAAATGTCTGGGTAAAAAAACAACTTTTTTTCCCACTGAACATTTTATTTTTAAGAAACATATAGAACATGTTGGAACAGTAAACATGTCAGGCTAAATAATTAGAATAAATAATTAAATTCTTCTTAATTAAATGCAGTCACTTAAGTGAGCCTAAACCTGCAGCTCAACAATAATCAGAAGAACATAAATGATTTTCTTAAAAAAAAAAAATCCCTATAAATAAAAAAAAATGCAGTCACTTAAGTGAGCCTAAACCTGCAGCTCAACAATAATCAGAAGAACATAAATGATTTTCTTAAAAAAAAAAAATCCCTATAAATAAAAAAAAATGCAGTCACTTAAGTGAGCCTAAACCTGCAGCTCAATAATCAAAAATATAATCAAAACATAATTTCTGTAAAAAATAAAATAAAAAAATTTATTAAAAAAATGCATGCATAAACCTGCAGCTCAACAAGGTTTTTGGAGACATGCTCGCTTTTTACACATTCATCTTTCAGTCCCAAGTTATGATGCAGGAATGTTCCCCTTTCCCGGATTAAGTTTGGAGCGGTGAGGTACGAGGATGTGTGCGCATACACACATAAGGAAAGAGAGAGCGCGAGTGTCACACACACACACACACACACACGTGCTATACTCTCCGTACAACACTCAGTGGCAAAGTTTTTTTTTTTTTTAAATGCGTGATTTTGAACAGATGCAACCAATGGCAGGAGGCTTAAAAGTATAGACGTCACGTGATACCAGCTAAATTTAATTATTGTACTAAATCGCAGAAAAGTAGGCTACAGTACGTACTTTAGACTGCTATTCCTCGCTCTGTGAAGTAACGTGAGGGAGGAAACTAGTTGACGTTAGCTAGTTAATTAGCCATGTTATCTGCCTCGGTAGCAAGCCAAATAGTATTTATTTCAACACTGAAACAAACGGCGGGGGGGGCTCTGTCCTGATCGGGGGGGAAAGAGGGAGAAATGAAGATGACACAGATATATAGTTTATGTTCGACTTGGAAGTATTTATTTAGCGATCGGCGCTAAAACGTCATCTGTACGGAACATGGTTAGTCTACGTTACCCGAAAAATTCCCATACAACAGACATCGTCTTTTTCGACGGGGGAAAAAGTTCCAGGGATTCATCTCCTTCGGCCATCCCACACACAGGTGACTCTCACTGATTGCTCGCAGGGGTCGTGTGACTCGCTCAAGTGGCAACCTCCCGCTCTCTCTCTTGAAGCCAACAAGGAAGTGACTAAAACTGCAATTCATCGACTGGCCGCTAGAGGCTGGCTGCAAAAGGGAGTCAATCCCATAGACTCCCCATGTTAAAATGCCCAACTTTACAGCAGAAAAAAACATGTTTACAGCCTGGTTAAAAAATAACCAGTTTTTGGTCTATTTTGGTCTATATAGCTAATTTTGCCCTTCATGACAACTATGAGGGGGGTGAATTTTTTTTATAACTCATCCGTTTAAATTATGTTAAGCCTTACTGCATAAATAAGGGCGTGGCCACTTGAGTGACAGGTGGATTGCTGCTGCTGTCACCACCGTCGAGCTAGGTGGGCGTGGTTTCAGCAACCTGCTCCCGCCTCTTTGCCCATTTTCGATTATCCGGGAGTGACGCATGGTGACGCCAAGCCAAGATGGCGACGGCCCGCTCCGCCCACTTTGGGCTTCAAAAACGCTCTGCGGGTAACGTCACGGACACTACGTCCATGTTTTTATACAGTCTATGGACTCGCTACGCTCTTCGCTGCACACAACTGAGGGAGTCCTGCACTTTCCGTCTTTGACAACACGTAAAAAAACTGCGCATACCGCAGAAACGGTATAACGGAAAATTTTTGTGGTTTTGAAACCGTGACTTTTCCAAACCACGGTATACCTTGAAACCGGTTATCGTCCC